CAGAGTGATCAATATTTTATTATTCCCGGTTTTTGTAGGACATCTTTCACAAAAGTCGGTAATCGAAAACAATTCCACCACTGTGTAAAGATACGGGGTGATCAATATTTTGTTATCCCTGATTCTTAATGTAGAAAATCTTTGACGAGAGCCGGTAATAGAAAACAATTTTACCCACTGTAATTTGACTCAACAAAAATAAGCCACTGTATAAAGATACAGAGTGATCATTATTTTATTATTCCCGGTTCTTGTAGGAAATCTCTCACAAAAGTCGGTAATCGAAAACAATTCCACCACTGTGTAAAGATACGGGGTGATCAATATTTTATTATCCCTGATTCTTAATGTAGAAAATCTTTGACGAGAGCCGGTAATGGAAAACAATTTTGCCCACTGTAATTTGACTCAACAAAAATAAGCCACTGTATAAAGATACAGAGTGATCAATATTTTATAATTCCCGGTTCTTGTAGGACATCTTTCACAAAAGTCGGTAATCGAAAACAATTCCACCACTGTGTAAAGATACGGGGTGATCAATATTTTGTTATTCCTGATTCTTAATGTAGAAAATCTTTAACGAGAGCTGGTAATAGAAAACAATTTTGCCCACTGTAATTTGACCAAACAAAAATAAGCCACTGTATAAAGATACAGAGTGATCAATATTTTATTATTCTCGGTTCTTGTAGGAAATCTTTCACAAAAGCTGGTATGCGAAAACAATTCCACCACTGTGTAAAGATACGGGGTGATCAATATTTTGTTATCCATCTATGATACAGAGTGATCAATATTTTATTATTCCCGGTTCTTGTAGGAAATCTTCCACGAAAACCGGTAATCGAAAACAATTCCACCACTGTGTAAAGTTACAGGGTGATCAATATTTTATCATGCCTGGCTCTACATATAGAAAATCTTTCACGAGAGCCGGTAATAGAAAATAATTTTGTCCACTGTAATTTGACTCAACAAAAATAAGCCACTGTCTAAAGATACAGAGTGACCAATATTTGGCGGTGAGTGAGTGCCTCGGTATTCTGGCGCCCTAGGCTCGGCTCTGGAAGTAGATAGGCACACTTGAAGCACAAAAGTTAAATTTTTTGAATAGTTTAGCGCTTCAATGTGCTTCAATCTTCAAATTAGCAACCCTTGTATTTTCGAAGATATTACGGTTTTTTGAAATCGCCTGCTTACTTCACACCCAGCATGAACAAGGGAAGCACCAACGTGCAACTACAGATAAATGGTTAGTGCTTCATTAATACTTCAATGTGCTTCAATCCCTAAATTAGCAACCCTTAAATTCTCAAAGATATTTCGGATTTCAGAAATTGCCTGCGCAAATCCAGTAGGAACAAGGAAAGCGTCAATGTTCACTTACAGATACCTAAATGGTTAATGCTTCGTTAGTGCTTCAATTCCTACATTAACAACCCTTGAATTCTCCAAGATATTCCGGTTTTTAGAAATCGCCTGCTTAGTTCACACATAGCAGGATTATTGGAAGCAGCAACGTCAGTTGTCAATAATGCTTCCCTAGTGCTTCAATGTGCTTCATTCCGGAAGCACCAACGTTCAGTTACAGATAAATGGTAAGTGCTTTGTTAGTACTTCATGCTTTTAGCAACTCTTACTTATGCTTCAAGACATATTTCGACTTTTTGCAATCGTAGTGGGTGTAGCGGAGGATGTCAGAATACTCTGAAAAAAACATGGTTCCGGAATATGTCTGAAAATTCAAAGGTTGCTAATTTGGGAATTGAAGCACTAACTATTTATCTGTAACTGAACGTTGGTGCCTCCCTTGTTCCTGCTCAGTGTGAAGTAAGCAGGCGATTTCAAATAGCCGAAATATCTCCGAAAATACAAGGATTGCTAATTTGAGGATTGAAGCACATTGAAGTACTAAATGATTACGTAAAATATCTAACTTTTGTGCTTCAAGTATGCCTGCCTACTTCACAGAGCCCTTAGGCTCGCGTTTGATTCCCCAAACATCCAGAAATTTGAAGAAACAAAAAACGCAAAAATATCATCACATCAGTTACATTACTCTACATTCTAGAATCCTGCTAGATTATAAATAATATAAATGTAAACACGTTTGACCATTTGAATGTTCATGTTATTTGTATTTACCGCTACTCTATGTCTTGTCTGAGGGAGTTTTCGAATGATTTGGAGATGCTATTGAGCCAACTATTTCCTCTTGCCTCGATTGTTCTGATGCATTATTTCAAGACTTGCACAGGTACGCAAACATTGAAAGTAGGCGTCAGCAGCGTTTTAATGGCATTCATAAATGTAATTTCAATAAAACTAACTTAAACAAGGAAAATATGAATAATGCTCAGTAAACAAGTGAGAAGCAGAACCCAGGCACCACAGACATTGAATTAGGAGACAGCTAAGACATCATGATAAGCTGGTAATACCAGAGTAGTGAGCCAAACTCAACAGCACTCTTCGAAATACTTACTACCTAGAAATGCTGAAGACAAGCCCATTTGCTTCAAATGCAAGAAATATGGGTATATCTCGAAATATTGCTCCCAGAATCAACCCTCAGAAGCACCTCAGACGATCCAGCGAACCGCAGCAATAGCGGCGAACTCACAAAATAGTGGTATAAAAGAGCAAAATCTAAAGTATTTTCAGGAAGCAACTGTCAATGAGAACAGACTGAGAGTAATTTTCGTAGAGGTTCAAGTCTAACTGCATCAGGTTTCAAGACATTATTCTCGCGCAGATATCCAAGAAGTTTGATTTTAGGGAGTAAGAACTTTTCTTCTCGTTTATGGTAAAATTGTACTTTCTTACGAGTAAAAATTCTTTTAAATTGTTATCATGGTCTGCTTGATTTCTAACGCATATCGTAATATTATCTAAATATGCATAGACACCTTCAAGATTCTTTGATTTTATAATGTAGTCTATTACCCGCTGAAAACACGCAGCTCCGTTTGTCACACCAAAAGGAATTCTTCGGAATATAATTTACACATATACCAGCTCAATTGGATTTGGCGGTATGATTTTTCAGAAACAGGTAGATGATCCGATGCTTCCGGTAGTATATGGTGAGTATATGTGAGTAGACAGACTATACTTGAAGAAGAGAAATATCACTCATCAGAATTGGAAACTTTGTGCTTGGTTTTGGGTATTGAAGAGTATACCAGGCATAGAATTTGTATGTATTGCAATGCCCTCGTAAGCTAACTTCGTCGCTAGAGGTACAGTTAATATTATCTAATCGTCCCAATACGTGGCTCAATTTTGTCTGAAGCCTTAAATAAAGATTACTTCTGAAAGTGTCCCAAAATTTGTCTATGTCTTCTGCTAACCCAACTAGTTGGTGAAAGGTTAAGGTGGATAGTGTATACTATTACTCGCATTTTCTAACTATCTTACTTGATTCAACTGACACCTCATCTCATCCACAGTTCTAGTGGCGATTCCCCTCCATGTTAGTTCATAATGCCAACTCTTCCTTATTCAACCATTCTACGCGACATCCTGTCCGGTTCACAATCACTATACTAGTTTAGATAATATTTACAGCTGCATGTATATGTATATTTATAATCCGCCAGCAACCAACCGTGGTAAAGGCTATAGCCGCACTATCACAGTCAAACTTCACTTCAGGCTTACCACTAAGTCATGTTACAACCACTCACTTCACAAACCTGATGTGACTTAACTACCGCAGCAAAACCTCAATACGCACACTTGCGTCTGATTTATATGCACCGTGAGTCAATCAATCAACACCCAGAAATACTGTAGAGTGCTATTCTCCCAACTCACCATATAATAACAACAAGAAGGAAGGCCAATGATGTCCAATGCAAGGTGGCTAATTACATTTTTAGCTTTTATTATATTATTTTATTTTGTATATTTATATAGCTTAAATTAGAGCGTAAAAAAAAAGTATCAAATGAGATTTCCCTAAGATAAAACAAGTGAAAGATTACACACAATTAGTGCAGCCTTGAAATAACGAGGGCCCCACGTTGGGCGCCAAAAATGCTGCTTTAAAAGTATTATATACTCGAAGTATTTGTCTGGTCTATAGGAAATACAGTAGTGTTAGATGGCCGGTTCTACGCCTTCCGTCCTCTGGAGCGAACGACGTCACCTGTCAATGTTATCTGACCAACTTTCTTTGGCAAAGCACTATATCACTAAACAAGCTAATAATATTCTACTGTCAATTGCCAAAAGCACCTTGGTGAAGAAGGCTTTTATTTATTTTGCTTAGAAAGCCTTCAATTTTCTACCAATTAGCGTTAGATATTCATGTTCATACGGAAGATACGAGATACAGAAGTAACTCTTGACACAAGCCTACTATAATGTTGATGAATACCTACTTTAGAAACACCTTGTGAATATATTTTTAACGTAGGTAAAATTTTGAATTGTTCTTATAGATACCTATTATTAAGTTTTACTAAAGATGGCCATGTAAAGTCTGTCATTAGTGTCATTCATTTAGAAGCAAATTCATGACCTACTAGACTTGATATTGATCCGCACAAAAGTGAAACAAACCGTGAGACGAATTTTTGATAAATAAAAACCGGGAAAATCCTCGTATAACGCTGAACGTTTGGTAAAATGACTGGAATAAATAAAACAATCCTTGTAACCCAAACCTTGGCATGCATTTATTGAAAACTAAGACTCACCACTATAGTTATCATACTTCACTGTATTGTCAGCAGGGTTCAGGACGTAAGACTCTGTAAAAAAAAAACAATTGTCAGCTAAATGTACAATATTTCAAATCTAATTTAATATACGAAGTCTTGTGTGTGTGAATCATCAAGAATGCCAATTGATAATGACCCAAAGGAATGTGTATACATACAGGGCAAAATTTAACTACTCACTGTACTGTTGTTACGCGAACATTTACAGATATTTGACCTTACGCACAGTGTGTTCGCTGATCTCTAAAATTAAATATTTCTTTGCAGGCTGCCATCCTCCAGCAAACAGCCGAATACATTTACTCATTGGAACAAGAAAAAACAAGGCTGTTGTCGCAAAACTGTCAGCTGAAACGTTTAGTCGGTCAGCATGAAGGCGGCGAGCTACCGCCCAAAAAACGAAAGACCGAACTGATTCTTCCTACTATTGAATCACCAGAAGACGAAGGTAATATATACATATATTTTTTTTTAAGGAAAAACTAACATTTAAAATTAGATGAAACATTTTCAGGTATGGACTCAATGTCGCCAGGTCCAGTGAAACTTATTACGCTGACTGTCAATGGTGCTGCTGTCACCAATGAAACCCCCAATGAGCTTAAAAAAGCGCTGGAACGTGAGCGCAATTTACGTTTATTGCTTGAAGACCAAGTACGACAGCTTGAACAACAACTATATCAGCATAACGCTGCAGAAACCCAAATCCAATACATTGCTGCTGAAGAATCAGATGAATTGGGACTTCAGCTGATTGCAGCCGAAAGTGTACCGCCTGTAGCTCACACCCAAACAGTGGTATGTTCCACACCGCCGTCCCGAGACCCTAGTCCGGAACGCACCCTACCTTCTATTACAGAAGAAGAACGGTTACCTAGTGTCCTTAAAGCTGCCATCAAGGCTGAACCAAAGGTATGTTATTATCAATGTTGTGATATTTCAGGGTTTAATTATTTGTTTGTTGACACAGGTCGAAGTAGAAAGGTTACCGTCCCCCGCTCACGACGAAATATCGTCCGGCGGCAACCTTTACTCCGTAAGCAATACCTCCAGACAGAATTTGGAGACTATAGTGGAAGCAATTCGACATTTGGAAGGTGATCATATGTTTGGTGATGATTCAACGGTAGGAGCCTCGGTAACGGTTACAACTTCTCCCTCTGAACCTCAAGACATCCCTTTGGCGTTGACGACGCGCGAATCTTACGTCGAATACAGCGCGGCGACCGTGCAGCAACATCAGCAGTCGCGACCGGGTGTCATCGTCGTTAAACAGGTAAGAATTGATCATAATAATTGGAATTTATTCGATGTTGAATATTGAAGATATGATTGAGGTTTGAATAATTGAGGATTCCTTCAATTTCTGTTGGTTTTCTTCTAGTTAAGGGACTATTTTTATAAGTATCTCCAGAATCTGGCAGCTCGTTTGAGAGGTGAATGGTACTACACTTGAACTAATGTAGTTCACACCTTTCCGGCATTTGCTTATTTCTATTCCCACCCGACTCCGATCGTACAATCAATCTATTCATTTTCCAGCTGCATTTAGTTCTCTACGGACAGTGATCGAGACCTTATTTCACTTGTTTGCCCCTGTTCTCTGCGCCAAAGAAAACGAAGAGCTCTCCCCTCAGTTTGTACGGCAGAAGTGAAGTGACATGTACCCAGCACTTAGGAGCGCCTATTAGGCTGACAACACTTTGCGTGGGTCCCCTCGCTATCGGGATCACTTTAGGTGGCCAGCGAACGAGCCCCCTCTGAGTTGTTGGTGCGAGCTGCCTGCGGGCACGAAGAAAGAAACGAGAGAGCCAACGATAAACCCCTCGGTTTGTATGGAAAACTTTCCTTCTACAGATCTTCTTTTCCAAGCAGCATGTACCCAAAATCTGCATTTTCCGCTGTTCCCCATAAAAGATCTCTGACTTTCTTCATCTTCTTCGGAGTCGGATCGGTGGAGTGTATGCTACATCACTCTCTGTTCTGAGCCCTCGCCTCCTATCTCAATGGCCTGTGTTCTATCTGAGTGATATTTCTTCATCAGCTTTATGCATGCAGAACATAATATTTAAGTTTTTCAGTTTTTCTATTGGAATGTCATGTGACAGTTAAGGGCCTTAGAGAGATCAGAGAAAGTAGACGCTACAATTCACACAAAGACTTAGCACGGCTGCAGTGGTAGATTTGTCTTTTCCGAACCCAAATTATTCATCTATCAACAGCGTATGTATACATAGTGCGGCAGCTGAGCTAGAATATTTCAACATATTGTGCACTTTTTGATAAAGGCACCAAATTTGGCACAGAGGTAGACCTATGTAATATGAACAAATTTGGATGTGGAGCCATCAGCCAACTGGTCCCCGGCGCCGGCGTCCGTGGCTGCGATTTTCTAAAATGGCCGCCGAAAGACAACAGAAGTAAGATAAAGTTTGCTGCTGAAGGTTTTAGTGAATGTTTATCGATGGTTTTAAATAAAAACATACCTGATAGTTTGCTTGTTGTACAGGGTGGGACACGAAAAACTTCCTACCTAAATTTTTTCAGGTCTCGTCCCAGGTTCCAGGTGTTTAATCAGATATTACTCGGACACGTAAATTTTTGTTTTGGGGGGGACATATTTTATTAGCATTTTCATCCTTTACCTAGCTGTCAACCCCTAAGCGGAACCTGTAAAATTTTATGTGGAAACGGGGTTCGAGCCGCAATTTTGGCAGGGTAAATAGTACCAATTTAGAATTTCGAGGATATATTTTTAATAAAAATTTCTATCAAATCTCTGAAGTTACGCCACTGCCTATCTCTCAACCTTTAAGCGAAGGTGACAGCCGACAGGTACCCCCAAAATTTCAAATAAAAAAAGGCGGACGATACGTCATTTGATAGAAAGTTTTAATAAGATCACTTTATATCCTCGAAATTTTAAGGTGTTACTACATAGTTACAACCAGTCTGGCTAACTAAGTGGTTACTATCCCGACCATATCTCACTCGGTTGGTATGACCTTAACGATGACACCGTTTCGTGAACCTCACTTGACATGAAAATTACTTTGAAGGTGGTTTAAGGAGGTAAACCTAATAATTGCAATTCATCGAAAAAGGGATTTTTGTAAAAATATGGACATTTCCACCCTAGTTTCGGGCACAAATAGTACTGGAAGTTATAGGCAGTACCAACATAACCATTTAGCGTACCTAAAACGACTTCCAAATAACTTTGAGGGTGGTTTAAGGGGGTAAAACTAATAATTGCAATTCATCGAAAAAAGGGTTTTTGTGAAAATATGGACACTTCCACCCTAGTCCAGGGCACAAATGGTACTGGAAGTTACAGGCAGTACACACACATACACATTTCCACTCTCTTTATTGCACGCCTCGCTTCATTCTTAAGGATTGTTTATTTTAATATAGGAATTGCCTTCCCCAACATTGTAAATTTGTTGCAATAAATACAAGACCTTTATATTATAATATTCATGTGTCTTCTTTTGGAGTTTTCTGCAGGATTTACAGAAAAGATAGAAGGAATAACTGCCAGCATCTGATTCGATGCCTAATCTCCACTGTTATAAGCTACCTGGTGCACTTGTGAGGCGTCAACCACAATAATCCTGAGGGTGGTGCCCGAGGTAACCGTTAAAGTAAGAATAGGAAAAATCGGCGTTACAAAATTGGCGCCCGAGCAGGGACACTCAATTGATGTAAAAAAAAAGTTCCCACTAGAATTAGTCCGTTGACCAGTTTTTTGTAAAACTCAGACTAAAGATGACAGGAGGCAACGACAACGTTGGAGATGCGCCAGCTACGAGTATCCCAAATACTATTGCACATATGGTACATATTCACCCTGCCGAAATGGGGGTTTGTCAAAGTTAGGAAATAGAACATTGTATCATTCGAACTATTTCGAACTACCTTTTCATTTGATATTTTGCTGGTACCTGCTGCCTCCGCCTAGGGGTTGACAGGTAGAGGGTGGAAATACCAATAAAATGTGTCCCCGAAGAAACAAAACTTGACGTGTCCGAGCCTGTGACCCGAACAATTTTTGATTATTCACTTAACACCGGAGAAAACCTGGGTGGGAAGTTTTTGTCTCCCACCTTGTATTACTAACAAACTATCGGGCATGTTTTCATTGAAAACAATCAATAAACATTCACTAAAACCTTCAGCAGCTAACTTTACTTAACTTCCGTTGTCTTTCGGGGTGTGCACTAGTGGCCATTTTGGGAAATCGCCGCCACGGCCGCCGAGGGGCAGTTGGCCGATGGCTCCACATGGAAATTTGTTCATATCAGGTCAATTCTCCTCTGTGCCAAATTTAGTGCCTTTGGGCCCAATTACAGTATATTTGCATCTGCAAATTTGCAGTTCCGCAAATATGGCCGACTTGCATATGTGCTCTATTTGCAGGAACGAGCAAATTACAGAAAAAAACCTGCAAGTCTGTCATATTTATCAAAAAAAGTGTTTAGACCCAGTTTTGAATGTCAAAGTGATTGCAAGGACTTGCGGGACCGTTTCACCGTGCGCAAATTTGCAGGCGACCTGCAAATGCATTCTGCTTCTGTAATACGAAAAGTAAGACTTGCAGGTCCTGCTTTTGTATCTTGGTGTTGCAGAGCTTCTGTAATTCCAGGCTTTATCAGAAAGTCCACAATAGGTTAGCTAATCTGCTGTACTAACAGCTGTTTTTGAAGGAGAGACTCGACTCAAAGACCTTGCAAAAGACTGGTATTAAAGAGATGGGTCTGTAATTTTCTGGTGATAGTTTATCACCTTTCTTATGGATTAGCACAGTTTTGATGATTTTAACCTCTGGCAATCAAAATGTGAAAATTTTTCGACATGTTTCTGGGATTTGCAGTCCCTTTTTATTCGGAGCTGTATTAGATTACCATTTGTGAAATGTTCTCCATAGATCTCTTTCCGTTGAGTCCCATGTTATTTCGAATTCGATCGAAGCATTCTATGTTGATAATGTAGTAGTAGATGAACGATTTGGATCAGTTCCTCCAGGGCCCGTATTCTTGTAATCGGAGAACAGCGTTCTCTCAAGAGAACGACTGCTCTGTCTGTGTCAGTATTATGAAAATAACAATATGGGTGACTAAGACAGAGCAATCGTTCTCTTGAGAGAATGCTGTTCCTTAGTGACGAGGATACGGGCCCTGAAAGCTACAGCCATTTTAAAAAAAGGCCAGTTCGACCTTTAAGGGTGGAAGTATTCTCACTAAGAGAGGTCAAATGACGTATCCGAGAACTTAATAAACGACGTGTTAAGGCCGGGACACACTTTTCATACACTCCTCCGATCCGACTCCGGTCCGATTTTTCCTCAAAAATCTGGCCGGTGCGGGATCGGAACGGGGTGATAACACATGTCAAACTCGTTTCCGACTTCTTTCCGCAAAAGACCAAAAACCAAGCAACACGTTAGATACGTGCGGTCTCACAGCTGGAAAACGAATAGATTGCTCGATTGGACCATGATCGGATGCAGGATCGGAGTCGGGTGTGAGCAGGGATGGACACGTGCCGGAAAGGTGTGAACTACTTTGTTTGAAATGTAGTACCATTCCCCTATCAGACACTCGTCCGATTGTATGATCGGAGTCGGATCGGAAGGATGCATGATAGGTGTGTCCCGGCCTTTAGTTGTTGCTTAGAAATTCTGTATTAGATTCGTTGTCAAAATATGTGTTGCATTTTTAACTGCTACTACTTATTCAGCACATTAATATTATATTGGTTTGGCAATTACAGTAAATAAGAACTATACTGGGTGTGCATTATATGGGTACCACAACCGTCTCGTCACCCTACCATCAACGACACCCGCTCATATTGTTATTTCCATAATACTGACAAAGACAGAGAACGCTATTCTCCGGTTACGAGAATACGGGCCCTGACGTTAGCGTGACGGCGCCTTGAAGGTGTAGAGTCAATATACGTCCATTACTTTCGTAAGATTATTTGACGTGCTACAGTCACGTAACGGTGTCGATATATGAGTAATGAATCGCACCCGAGGCCAGGACACACTTGTCATTCACCCCTCCGATCCGATTCTTGACTTCTGGTTTAACCCTTACCCAAACACGGCTATTGACAGCTGTAAAACTAAAATTGCAACAGCTACAGACGTCTTGCGTCTAGTAGCTTTAGTTCATGCATATGGTGATTGAACGCACCTGCAGTAGCGACTCTCTGAACCTCTAGTATAAAATCAGATTACTGCAAAGATGGTTAAGGCATGGTATA